TGAGCACTCTTGAAAAACACATAACATGAAGATGTCCATTAATATGATTCCAGAGAAACATATTTTCAATTCACCTCTTCATGACTTTAAAATTACAGCAAGATTTCCAATTGGGATATCTAGAACCTCTGCAGTCTGATAAATTTATCAGACTTTAACCCCGAGTCATGATCCTGTGAGGAGCTTGGATGATTTTTTTTTTTTTTTTAACAAATTAGAAAAGAGCACACCATTTAAACACCTGGTTTTGTCAAATGTATTGCATTACAATACTAATTGCCAGGTAAATAGGCTATTTACACTCCGTTGCTTTTGTTTTGGTTAAAAAGGTTGGTATGTCTAATGGCTCTTTTGACATCTTTATTTTTAACCAACCCTTCTACTAATTTTCAATTCGAAATAAAACATGATGTAGCTGCTGGTTAATTTTAAATGAATGCTACTGTGTGTCGTGTCTCCTCCAAACGCAGCTACTGTGTACACAGTGAATAGCGACCGCAAATCATATTTTATCATAAAGTGTCAGACATAGGATCCAATGATGTTACATCAGTATGCGGGACTCAGGAGCAGCGGAATACCAAAACGCAAACACTGGCTGAAAACTCTCTGAACACACTGTCAGGCTAGTTGTTGATGCCAGATGCACTTTTTTGAGTAGATTTAAACTGCTGATTAAAAAGGAAAAAAAATCATCACAAAGGTATCCAGAATAATTACAGGTGCTGGTCATAAAATTAGAATATCATGAAAAAGTAGATTGATTTCAGTAATTCCATTTAAAAAGTGAAACTTGTATATTATATTCATACATTACATATAAACTCATATATTTCAGATGTTTATTTTGTTTAATTTTGATGATTACAAATGACAACAAATGAAAATCTCAAATTCATCATATCAGAAAATTAGAATATTACTGAAGACCAATAAAAACAAAGGATTTATAGAAATGTTGGCCAACTGAAAAGTATGAACATGAAAAGTATGAGCATGTACAGCACTCAGTATTTAGTTGGGCCTCCTTTGGCCTGTATTACTGCAGCAATGCGGCGTGGCATGGAGTCGATCAGTCTGTGGCACTGCTCAGGTGTTATGATAGCCCAGGTTGCTCTAATAGTGGCTTTTAGCTCTTCTGAATTGTTGGGTCTGGTGTATTGCATCTTCTTCTTCACAATACCCCATAGATTTTCTATGGGGTTAAGGTCAGGAGAGTTTGCTGGCCAATTAAGAACAGGGATACCATGGTCCTTCAACCAGGTACTGGTAGCTTTGGCACTGTGTGCAGGTGCCAAGTCCTGTTGGAAAATGAAATCTGCATCTCCAAAAAGTTGGTCAGCTGCAGGAAGCATGAAGTGCTCTAAAACTTCCTGGTATGTGGCTGCGTTGACCCTGGACCTCAGAAAACACAATGGACCAACACCAGCAGATGACATGGCACCCCAAACCATCACTGACTGTGGAAACTTTACACTGGACTTCAAGCAACGTGGATGAAGTGCCTCTCTTCTTTTCCTCCAGACTCTGGGACCTTGATTTCCAAAGGAAATGAAAAATTTACTTTCATCAGAGAACATGACTTTGGACCACTCACCAGCAGTCCAGTCCTGTTTCTCTTTAGCCCAGGCAAGACGCTTCTGACGCTGTCTGTGGTTCAAGAGTGGCTTGACACAAGGAATGCGACAGCAGAAACCCATGTCTTTCATACGTCTGTGTGTGGTGGTTCTTGAAGCACTCACTCCAGCTGCAGTCCACTCTTTGTGAATCTCCCCCACATTTTTGAAGGGGTTTTGTTTCACAATCCTCTCCAGGGTGCGGTTATCTCTCTTGCTTGTACACTTTTTTCGACCACATCTTTTCCTTCCCTTCGCCTCTCTATTAATGTGCTTGGACACTGAGCTCTGTGAACAGCCAGCCTCTTTAGCGATGACCTTTTGTGTCTTGCCCTCCTTGTGCAAGGTGTCGATGGTCGTCTTTTGGACAACTGTCAAGTCAGCAGTCTTCCCCATGATTGTGTAGCCTATAGAACTAGACTGAAAGACAATTTAAAGGCTTTTGCAGGTGGTTTGAGTTAATTAGCTGATTAGAGTGTGGCACCAGGGGCCATCAATTTTGAACCTTTTCACAATATTCTAATTTTCTGATATGATGAATTTGAGATTTTCATTTGTTGTCATTTGTAATCATCAAAATTAAACAAAATAAACATCTGAAATATATGAGTTTGTATGTAATGTATGAATATAATATACAAGTTTCACTTTTTAAATGGAATTACTGAAATCAATCTACTTTTTCATGATATTCTAATTTTATGACCAGCACCTGTATTTATTTTTCTACAATGTTTTTTTTTTTTAAATGAACTTTATTTAAACAAGGTGGGTAGAAACAAGTTAGGCAATAAGAACATTAGAATTCAAATTCTATAGAAGGCATAGTAGAGGCAGATTTCAGAATGAAAATACAAAGTAACTGATGAGGAAAATAAAAAAAGCGTGAGTAATGCTAATAATACAATAAAATAACATAAAGACAAGGGGATTCATATGTTAGGATTAATGTACATCAGTGGGCAGTTCCATTAGTATTTCAGTCAGGTATTTGTAAGATTCGATACATTCAAGAGATGTCAAATATAAATTAAATTCAGATAAAAAAAATACTAAAGATAGGGGAGGATCTCAAGACTCTCTGTTTATGAATAAAAATTTTGCTAAACAAAAAATTAGATTACAACAGAGTTCTATTGTTTTGTCTTTCAATAGTATTCCAAAAACTACCATATCTCTAGAAATAGAATTAGGGAGTGCAATTTTTGATTTGATCCATCTTTCTAAACAATTCCAAAATGTTTTAGTCTTACTGCATTCATGGAAGACATGGTCTATAGTTTCTACATCACTTTCACAGAATGAGCATTTATTGTCATCAATATTAAAACGGATTCTTAGTAGTTCTTTTGATGGGTAGATGGCAGTTTCTTTAGCTTTTGGTTGTATAGGAAGTTTAAAAAAAAAAAAGTTCTTGGTATTTCAATTGATTTTTGTTCAAATTTGCAAAGAATGTTATTTTTATTTATTTTCCCAGGGAACAAAGTTTCATTTAGATAGTTTCTAATTGTGTGGTTATTGAATTTTTGATCAGTGATTGATATTCCATTAATAGATAAATCGGGTAGTTTGGGGGTAATTGGATGATATATTATTATATTTTGAATCTGAGTAATAAATTGTTCTGGCAAGGCGTTAAGTAATCTTGTAAATTCATCTTTTGGAGGAAGGAACTGATATTTTGTACAGAATTGTTCGTAATTTAATATGTAACCATTAGTGTCCATTAAGTGTATAATAGACCAAATATTCTTCTCCATCCAATCTTTGTAGAATAATGACTTATTGCGATGTAGAATAAATCTATTATTCCATATGATAGAGGAGTGTGGCGAGTAGTTATGAACATATATCATTTTCCATTTTTTCTACAATGTTAACTGTGCTTTATTGGGGATTTCCCTTCCTGTTTAGTTGGGCTGTCCCAATTGGCTGATTATTGGTGGGTCTATTTAAGGGGCACACTCCCAATGGCTTAGGGGGGCTGCTTGGAGAGACTGGTTGGAGAAACTGCTCTTGAAGGTCTGCTTAGAGAGACTATATTTAAAGTCAGCTTGCTGTGAGGCTGTCAGTGTTTTGTATTGCCTGCAATGGCCGGTTTTGTTTTCTTTATTTGAAAGTATTTTGTTTGTTTTGTTTTTTTTTTGTCTTCACCGTTGCACCAGTAAACCGCTACACGCTTTTGAACTGGAATTTTGTTGTCCGCTGGTTCTTACCACCTTTTTGCAAGTCATCTGCTTACTCCTCCTCTGACGTGAGACGGGAGCTGGTGAGCCGTTTTCTCACAAATACCAAATTCAGTCTAATTGGATGGGAATCTACATTGCATTTGATGCACCACTACAAGATGAATCGACAGATTCGGCGGTATTAATTCGCGGCAAATCATTGCAGCTTGGTGGCGGTGGCGTTAGCATAGTAGTATGGACGACGAGATGATTGAAAATGAACACAACGGAGATCTAGTCCTATTGGCAGACATCCATTTAAAATGTAGGCAACGAAAAAAGTGGTTTCTACTTTTACTTTTATACTTTAAGTAAATTTACAAGCCTGTACTTTGTTACTTTTACTTGAGTAAAGAAGTTTAATCAGTACTTCCACTTTTACCAGAGTATTTTTTAACACAAGTATCTGTACTTTTACTCAAGTACGGAAAGTGAGTATTTTTGCCATCTCTGCATAAAAGGAAGATAACCTGTTGTTTCGTTGTTATAACCAGGCTTGCATTAGGGCTCATAGAACAGCAAGTATGCCATTTTCAGCCCAACCAATGTTACACACCCTATTCTGAGACCTTAAGAACCAGCACCAAATAAACTATATAATCATTCTATGACCCATTTAAGCATGAGCTTTGATGTAGACAATTTATTTTCTGGATGCATTTCAAGATTTGTTGCCATGCTAGAAGGTATACATGAGCCCTAATCGTACAACTAAACGGTTTTCTCCAAGGGTTACCCTGTAATTAGCTCTATTAGCGAGAGGTTTGAAAAATATGTTCCTTCACTCTAAAAGGAAAATACAGATCCAACTTAAACAAATTCTCTTAATTGATAAAAAAACAAACAAAATGTAATGGAATAAAATTGATCCAACTGAATTTAGGTTTATAAGGTAAAAAAAAAGAAAAGGTCAGATTTAATTTAATAACTTGTTACTAATTGAAGCAATTAACTGCAGTTGGAGCTGCATTTTCTTTTTAGTGCTGATCACAATGGTTCAGACCAGAATTTTGGATTAAATAAAAACCCATCTGTTTTTAATTTAAATGAAAACAATGAAATTAAATAAAACCCATACTTTCTAAAATCTTTCTAGTCTCTTGGATTTAACTGAATACATTATTGAACATTGTTATGTTTAAAGACTCACTTTTTACACTGAGATCTGTGGAGTATGATGTTTCTCCAGTGGCAAACTGTGCAGTAAAGGTCAAACGTTTTCCGTTGTCTTCTAAAGATCCAATAAATGTTAGATTGGACTCAGTGATTAAGTTATAACTAGCTTGTTGGTAGTTTGTTACTACACTCTGCATGTCTGAATAGTTCCATTCAATTGTCGGTCTATTTTTTTTGCACTTGTAGGACACAGAACAAATCACGCTCTTTGCCACACCCTCTGTCAACTCTCCTGGTGATTCATTCATTTTGATTTCTTCATTAGGACCTGTAACAAAGGAAATTGAGAGTTTTTTTATTTTTTATTTTACCTTCTAAGGAATATTAAAATTCTCAACAGATTTTAAATACTAATATCTATATTTATACTTACATTCAACATGTATTTGAAGCTCGTTTTTGGCACTCTGTCCACCAGCATATCTCACAGTGCACTCCACCCTGCTGTGGTCTTCCTGAACAGTCCATGTTCTTTCAATTTCTTTCCCAAATCCCATCTGACACTGGGGTGTCGGAAATGTGGTCTGTCCCAGGTATCCCATCCAGAGACAGGACAGGGGGTGCAGCAGAACATGTATGCTGCACTATACAGGCAACTCTGCTTTTTTCCCCCACCCTAGGGAGATCCATTATGCTCAGTTGTGGAGCTTGTGCATGGTCTATAAGGTCAAAGAAAGATTTTAAGTTAATCGATTATGACACGTAGGTAGATCCCAGAAAAAGAGGAAAGGGAAAAATGGCCCAGAATTTAGCATAAATGTTTATTTTCTTTGTTGAAAAAATAGTGAGAGATAAAAGGTGCCTTGCTAGAATGAAAATAAATAAAAAAATATATTAGCAAAGGGTATAAATAATTTTAGGCATAGGTATATATCTAATTATGCATGTATATACTGTACATACCGGAAACCATAATCTGAGTGCTTTTATCCAAAAATGAGTGTCCCTGTGAATGGTAGGAAGTAATTGGGTGCTCATCGATCCATGGGTAAAGTCGATCCTGATTGTGGTACATCTCCAGCCTTTCTATTTTAAGGCTACAATTCCTGTCTGTCACAGAGCCTGTTAAACTTGTTTTCCCATCATATCTGTTCAAAATATTTCCTCCTTTTTGGTTGAATACAGCTGGATAGCCATTACTCTGGTACAAGTACCATAAAACTTGGAGGCCACCTGGCTGGGAATTACTGTAGGTAAACTTGCAAGGAATGATGATACATGACCCTTTTAATCCTGTCAAGCTTCTTGGAGTAGTGAAAGACCATCCCAGATTGAGCATGTTTCCTGAAAAAAGCAAAAACCAACGAATAAAATTTTTGTTTGGACTTATTAGTAATGTTGATACAAATTAACAGATTTGCCAAGGAGAAACTGTAAGCCTACATCTATATTCTAAACTTTATGTTGCTACTTCTGTCTCTTGTCTGTCTTTATTATTTGTACTCTTGTGGCTGACAAATGAACAAGCTGCTGTTTACAAAAGTTGTTTACAATAGCTATCTTGACTCTTGAATTTTGTCTTACGAGATTTATATGGAATTTATGACTTAAAGCAACAGCCACTTGGAAGTGGAAGCACTATGTTCCTGCTGTGGTGGAGCTCCTCAGGGCTGCCATGGGTTGATCATTGCAGTTCTAGTCAATCAGAGTGGTTTCATTGAATGCATTGCGGAGCATCATAGAGGTGCTGGAAGCTGTCCGCTTCTTTAAAACAGGCTCTTCTATTTTAACCTCTTGCTGCTTCAAATCCATGTCATTCACAATCAGCGTGGATTGTTCAGGCAAGACATTTGATAAAGAGCAAAGTGGATCCTGTCGAGTATAGAAATAAAGAACTACATGTCCAGACTTTGGATCTCATTACCTGGTCTTTTATGTAATAAAAAATATGAAATAAATCAATGCAGAAATTGTCATATATGTGGGATAAAAAGCTGTAGCTTAAAGCTGAAGATTTTTGTCAACTTGTATATAAAATTGACACAGGTCAGCTAAAGAACATCTTAATAACAATCCTAAAATTGTTTTAGCAGAGGCTTTTAGCTTTATCAATCTTCCTGATCGATTTGAACTTTTTGTCTGTATAAAGTGGAGAAAATGCTCCTATTTGCAATAATTTTGTTACTATGCTGTAACATTAAATATTGTTTTATATTCCAGGTCTCTAAGTGGTATGAAAATTATCCCAGGGAACAATCGCCTTTTAGTGGCAGTGGTAACCCCTCACTAATGGCTCAGCAAGTTAAACGACTCATCTCCGATTCACATGATATCATTGAGCACAGTGCACAGATGTCAAAACATTACAACAGTCTCATCTTATCCACAACAACTCTGCTTACCTTCGATAAGCATGCCGCAGGAATGATGAGAGAGATCAGGAAGGACAAAAGAATGAAACAATAAAGCACACTGAGTACTCGCTACCTTCCTTCCATGTTTCTTTTCCATTATTTACTTTCCTGAGTACTGTTGCACTGGTGATATCAATGCTAACCCAACAATATGGCATCACGAGACACGCAGCAGTGCGGGGCAGAGGCCAAATAGCTCTCTACTAGGGGTCAGACCCAGCTTTTTTTTTTTTGGAAGGGAGCCAAATGCTGACTATTAGCGGGTCCACTCGTGTTTGAAAAACCCATGCCAACCTGCTAATTTCAGTGGGAAAGAGGCTTAAGTGATGTGAATTTTTTTGGGGGGATGAACTAGAACTAGTGTCAGCTAAAACAGGGGATCTTTTTGACTTTCATTTTCCTTCCATTGCTCTAGGGATAACGTTTTTATGAATTCAACTGACCATAACATCTTTCTACAAACGGGATATGCATTATTATAGATAATTATACTACAAAACCAAACTATAACTAGGCATAAGGCAATGCATTAGATGTGGGATAATCTCCCATCTTAAAATCACGTCCTTAATATTTTATAAAGCATTAAAGGTGGTACAAAAGCTTTGACTCTGTAAAGTCATGGGTTGATGATGAATTAGTGTCAATAAACAAAAGGCTCATGAAAAGTCTCTGTGAGATCACTAAATTTAAGAATACCAAAAAACAAATTTATATTAGATGACAGTATTTTTTTCACTTTCCATGAAAAGTTATGCAAGATATGTCAATTTTCTTCATACAATAATTCATTGTTTCAAAGGAGGCAACTATGTAAGATAATATGAAGATCACACATTCCTTACAGATAACAATTGAAAAAACTTTCTATACACTTTATAAAAAAATTCTATACATTTTAAAATCAGGAGCTTCATTTAGAGTCTAGCTTTAATAAAAAATCTAAATACTTTAATATTTTAAATTAAAGGTACACTATGCAACCGGTGTTGATTTTCCAGTAAGGCTCCCTCCAGAGGGCGAAAGTAAAAGTGCACTGTCGTAAATATGCACAGCTGTTCTCCTGGTTTCTCCGTCAAGCCAGGCGCGGTTGTTTTGAGCTTAGCAGCGAATGACTAACGCTGCCTTCACACTGGACGTAGCTGGCGCGACAGAAGCAGCGAGTTTACATGCAAAGTCAATGGTTGACGCGCGTCAAGGCGCAACAAAAGGTCCCACGGCGCGTTTTGAGCACCAGGCGCAGCACGTCTGAGCAGCTGAAGCAGCGCGTCGGGTGCGTTTAACGCAGGCAGAGAGACACAGCGCTGATGATCTCTCCTCTTAAACAGTTTATTGACGCCTAAATTAACTTAAAATGTAGAAATCTGCCGGCAGAATATGCAGTTTGGATTATTTAGATGAAAAACACCTACCAGCTGCCGCGGTGAACCGCTGCTGATGAAGGGATCCATACTGTTGGCGCCCCGCTGGTATGTGGGGGTCTGAGCGGCTCCGACAGAAAAAATATTGAAGGCAGGATAATAATCTGAATAGCTGACTGCACTGATTACGTTTTCAGGTGTATTTTCTCACTTAAACACATATTAAAACTACTTTATTCCCACTGATCACAGCAAATATAGCTGCAAGGCAGAGAAAGGATAGTGAAGCTCCGCCCAAAGCGCCTCAGACACAGCCGGAGCAGCAAAGCTGCTTCAGCCACGAGTCAGAACTAACTGGTACAAGCAGCAAAAAGGAAGCAGCAGACGCGATTTTGCTGCTTTTGCTGCGTGAACGTAGCATAACTGCACAAAGATCGCCACTGTGCTAGCAACGAGAATGCTTTTAACTGGGGGCGTGTAGCAGTTCTCGCCGTAAAGCAAGACTGACTCTCACGAGACTTCTGAGCCTGTGGGTGCGGGTCGGTGCTCCTGCAGTTGCAAGTGCAGTATTTCCCCCACAGACCACCAGGGCGGCCGAGAATACCTTTGTTCAACCTGAAATGACTCATTTAATCATCCAAAACGTTATGGAACACATTAATTAACTGAAAAATGTTGCATAGTGTCCCTTTAAAACAGTGATTGGTGCCTACTTTTTACCAATATGGGGATACTCCTATCCTGGGTTGATCGTCCAGGAAAATGTGCAGAACATCTCAGATGATTTCCATGGTCTTTGGCTGATGGTGTGAATGTCAGTGTAGAAGTAATTTTCCACCAAGTCCCATCTTTGTAAGTATTACTGGTAGCTGGCATGTTAGCATAGTTCCAAGTCAACTTTGGTTCATTGTTAGAGCAACTGTATGAAACAGAACACGTTATCGTGCTTGCAACTCCTTCAAGATATTCACTTGATGAGGAGCTGATAGTCAATGATGAAAAAGAACCTGAAATAAAAAGAGGAGAATCATGACTGAAACACATTTACAGACATTTGGTTGATGATTTAGATATTAAGAGTTATCACTAACATTCTGCATAAAGGGTTTCAGATTTTTCTGCTGTTTTACCACCTGGATGCCTGACAATGCACTCCACAACTTGGTAGTTTCTATCTAAGACTAAATATGTTGTTAAAGAGGTTATAATAGTGCCATCAGACATCGCATTGTGAGTTAAATATTAATTTCTCAGTGGGATGTTCAAGTAAAGATTTGGGCGATTGGTGGAGCATGTGTGTTCAGCAGAACATTTTACTGTTACAGTATTTCCAGCTTTTCTTTCACCGGTGATCGTAATCTCTGGTGCCTTTGGTGAGTCTATGGAAGAAATGTAGAGACTTGAAAATATATCTTACAACTTATTATGTAATTGTGTTCAAGGTTTTAACTGAGAGCATACCAACTACTTCAATCGTCACAGTTGTCTCATAGAATGCATACGTGCTACTGCCAACATTTTCTGGATCCACCCAAGGATAAAGCTTCTGTCTGTGGTCATTCCATTTCACAGTTTCAATCTTAAGGGTGCAATATTTCCAATTTCCTAATACGCTGGTTCTTCCTTTATATAAGGGTATGATATCATTTGGGTACCATTTGTCACAGACCAAAGGATATCCCCTGCTTACATACTGGTACCAAACCACTCGATCGGCTCTTTTAGGTGGATACCGATAATAATCAAATCTGCAAGGGATGGTGAGGCAGGAGCCCAACAATCCCTTGATATGTCTTGGCATTTTAATCTCTCAAGCCTGGGATGTGCAGTAAATAGAACCTGCAAGAGATAAATACTCCGAAGTAAACATTAACGAAGCAAACATGCATTACTTATTTTCAATTCATATCGCACATAATGAATATTAAAATGTTAAAGTACCCAAAATACAGAGGTGCAAGACAAAGTGGCTACTCATCTTGAGATGATGTATCTGTAAGAAAGGAAGAATATTAGTAAATTAATGAAAAAAAAACAAAGATAGAATAAAGATGTGTATCTAAAGCCGGTTTCTGTTTCACCTCACTGTCACAGTCTGGCCCAGGTTATCCCCGTTATTCCAATCATTTATGGGATGCCACCCATCCCATAAATGATATACACACTCCGCTTTGTTTTTAAAAGACATTAATATAAAAATTGTAACCACGGATGTCTGGGGGACAGTGATTCGCCTACATGTTATGAATGCTGGCGTACCATAAATTATAAACAGTTTAGTTTGTGCCTTCAAGTCGTTGCCCATAGGAAGACGATACTTGGATATAGCCTAAAGGAATATCTTCAGAACAGCTCCAACTGACACAAAAATCAAAAGGGTGGAGTAGAACATGATGTAATAACGTAAAATCAAGGTCCCAATGTAAAAAAAACCCCCCAAAAAACGGCTTTCCCGTTGAAGGAAACTTCAGGTTGAGTATGCAAATCTATTTCTTGAGGGGGACCATAACAGTGTTGGGTCACCGCAAAAAGCTTATCATAGCTTGCATCATAGCAGGCAGTATGTGTCACCTTAATAAACAAACTAAGGGCCTGATCTTTAGGTTCTTGTGTCTTAACACAGGTGCAAACATTTTTGTACATGCAGTGGTGATCTTCAAAGAAGGTGCAAACTGATTTGTGTTTGCCTTCATCAATATGCAGATCATGTTCTAATGACCAAACTAAGCTTATGCAGGGCAGTGAAAGTGCGTTTCCAAATCAGAAAGTCAACTGTAGCCTCAGTCTTTTGTACTACTTCTGAAAGTCAGGTGCCAACTAACAGAAAAAAAATATCCACTGTCATTTTTGCCACAAAGCAGGCATTGGTACTAGTGGCACCACCCATCCCTTAAAATACAGGCTCCCCTTTTATTTGGAAGCTAAACGTTGAATCTATAAGGGAAACTATTTCTCCCATATTTTCATAAATGTCCAATACACCTATGTCAAACTCACATCAACACTAAATTATCAGGATGTGCTAAAGTCAGCTAAATTGTCCTGGTGGGTTCTAAATAAATGGTAAATGGCATGTACTTACCGTATTTTCACGACCATAAGGCGCACCGTACTAAAAGGCGCAGTCTGTTATCTGTGCCATTTCTGTATTTAACACACACATAAGGCGCACCGGACTATAGGGCGCGTTTTTTATATGCAGGTACATGTCCTCTACTACCTTTAAATACCTCTACTGCGTATTTAAAAATACAGCGGGAGCAAAACTGAGTATGATTGTGCTTTATTCATGTATTTATTACAAAGTATTAATCAAACCTGCGAGCTGGCCGTGAGACAGACACATCGCAGATGACAGAGCGCTGTGATCACTCCTAAATTAACTTAAAATCCTGAAACATGCTGACGGAATATGTTCGCTTTTATTACCGGTATCCTGGTGCCTGCAGTTTAAATTATTTAGATGAAAAACACCTAAATCAGACATGCCAATTTCCCCTTCTTCGCTGTCAGAGTCACTTTCCGTGCCGTGTGGCTCCTCGGAAATGATGCCGGCTTTTGTGAAAGCTTGAACAACAGAGCCAGCAGACACGTTAATCCAAGCATCTACAATCCATCCGCAAACGGTGGCGTAACTTGCCCGGCGCTGCCTTCCTCTTTTCGTGAAACTGTGCTCTCCGTCTGTCATCCATCGCTCCCACACCGCTCACAGCCTTACTTTGAACGGCCAGTTCACACCGATGTCGAGCGGTTGAAGTTCCTTTGTCAGACCTCCCGGGATAACAGCAAGCACAGCGTTTATTTGTTTCACCATGTTTTTCACATCGGCTGTGAGATGGGCACGCATGGAGTCACAGATCAACAGCGATGGTGATGCGTGGAAAAAAAACACCTGGTCTCCTTACATACACCTGCCTCAGCCACTCTTTCATCATCTCCTCATCCATCCAGCCCTTTTCATATGTCATCAGAGCGCTGTGTCTGTCTCGCTGTCAGCTCCCAGATCAGCTTCTCTGATTGGTTGATGCGGCGCTTCCAGCAGCAAAACTTCAATTTTTCCATCTCGAGCAGCAGCGCGTTGGCGGCGCGTCAGATGCTTAAACGCTCCCGACGCGCTGCGCCTGCTGCTCAAAATGCGCTGCGGGACCTTTTGCTGCGCCTATACGCGCGTCAACCATTGACTTTGCATGTAAACTCGCTGCTTCTGCTGCACCTGCTGGGTCCGGTTCAAACCGATGTGGAGCGGTTGAATAACAGCATTCACAGCATTCATTTGTTTCACCATGTTTTTCACATCAGCTGTGAGATGGGCACGCATGGAGTCACAGATTAACAGCGATGGTGATGAGTGGAAAAAAAACACCTGGTCTCTTTACATTCACCTCCCTCAGCCACTCTTTTATCATCTCCTCAATGAGGTGGTCTCAAAAGTCGCAGTTACAACACAGATAGGGCTCACTGCACCAAAGGGCGCACCGCACATTTTGAGGGGAAAAAAAGAAGTTTGTGTGCACCTTATAATCCTGAAAATACGGTATATAGCGCCTTTATTCAAGTTAGGAGACTTGACCAAAGAGCTTTACACTACATTCATTCACCCATTCACACACACACTCACACACTGATAGTGGCAAGCTACATTGTAGCAACAGCTGCCCTGGGGCTCACTGACAGAAGCGGGGCTGCCGTACACTGGCGCCACCGGGCCCTCTGACCACCATCAGAAATAAATAAGACCCTCTCAGCTTCGCATCAACTCCTTATACGGACTTAATTTTCCTACACTGCTCTCCATCATCCATGTTTATACTCAATACTCCACAACTTCCCCAGAGAAAAATACCTTTAAAAGATACAGATGTAATTGGGTACAAGCAAATCCCTTGCTGAGAAGTGTCAGTCAGAATGAGGAGGAGGAAAATTATAAAATTTAACAGGCTCTTGGAGAGAGTTTACAGCAACAAACAGTAAATCATTCATATGACAGGAATCAGATGGAGAGAAACACTACAGACACAAATGAAAACAGAATCCCAAGCATCAGTCCTTCACACCACCATCTCCTCACACTTATGTTTCTTTTTCATCTTTTATCTTACCAGGAAAGAATTCTTTTGAGATTTAGAATAAATTTTTTAATAATGTTCTGGGCTATGGAATAGCATGATTGTCGGGTTCATAAAACTTTTGCAAAAGAAGAACTGAAATACAGAATTTCTGGATACAATTCCTACAGGAAGGAGAGACAGTTGAACCCCAGACTCAAACAGACTGTCTCCCACTGGACCTCCTCTGCAGAGCGTTTATTAACAGAACATGACGCATGGTTACAAACAGAGTATTGTTCTGACAGAACAATTGATCAGTTCATAAAGACAAGATGCTCCATCAGAATGACAAGGCAGGATGGTCTCCTAACTGCATCACCAGACACAGTGCATCAGGCAGGATGGTCTCCAGACAAAAAGTTGGCTCAGATAAAAAAAGATTCTGAGTTAAGTTTTACATAAAAAAATCTGTTAGTTATGAAACAGATCCGTTTCCAGATTACATCTAAGAAACACTAAATAAATTAATATATACCGTAAATTCTCTAATATTGGCCTGTATTCCATTAGCGGCCGGGACTCTAACATTGGCCGGTCTCGCTGTCAGAGGAGGTAAATAATGGCCGGTCTCTAATACAGGCCGGGGCTATAAACGTTTTTTCTGGGCATACCTCAACATTATACTTGTGGTAGTAACATACAAGTACCACAGCCCTGCGCAGCTGGACGACAGGCCCTGACTGCTGCCCGTCTGCGCGAGGAAGAGAACAGACACGCAGCAGAACATGAGGAGGAGCGCGAGTGATGAGGAGATTAAAGGGAGAGATGAAGAGGAGGAGGAAACTGAGGAGGAGGATTAAACAGAATTGGAGGATTTTTTTTTTCTTTTTTACTTCAAACCAAGCGAGACATGGTAACTGTACTTTTTCAATAAATGAACCTAGTGTTTTATAGGTTCAAATAGACAAAAAATCTCATTTTTATTCATTCCACTGGTAGTCTGTTTTGCTCAAATAGCAATAGAGGCCTGTCTCTAATTCTGGCCTCTTTCCAATAAAGGCCTGGACCGCGATGCACTTGAGTGAAATAAAGGCCCGGGCCTATTTTAGAGGATTTACGGTATACATGAATTACTGCATTATCTATTCCAGATCATGTCAGTTTACTGGTATACCATGTGAGTAGATTAAACAGCACCACACTTAAGGCTGAATTATACTCAGAAACCAGAAAACAACTCGTGAAGATGGACCAGCTAGAAGAGCAAGTTGCACGAGAACGCTAGGACCATTTTTCCATCTTGATCCCGGCTCTTTTTCTCCCTCATGTCCCTCTATTGTCGCACAAACTTGCCCTTTGCATTTTTCCACTTCCTCCGTCTCTGCCGTTTCTAGACCCACAGCTAGTTGATGATTGCCCCTCTTGCGTTGAGGCATGGAATAACATAGCGAAGACCATACTTCAAAATTGGGCACCAGTCCTTTATTGGGGTTTGTTTACTGCATTAATGAGGGATGGATTCAGATCACAAGTAGGGTAACCGTTTCTATAGCACCAAAAAGGAGGACATTATGCGGCATATGAATAAATTACTAAAAAGTATAGAATCTGGTATACTCTCATTTATGGTACAATTTCGAGCAGTTTAAAGATGATGGTTATGAGCTGAAAAGAAAAAAGTATTTATGAAAAGTCAAAACATAGTGGTTCACAATATTTGTATTTATTCAGTACATCATGGTGCTCTAAAAAATTGACCACTGAGATGAATCAGCAGTTATTTTGGCATCCAGGGGCAACAAAACTTGATGAGGTACCTAACGCACATTTATTACTTTGATGTTATTCGTACTTGGATGCTGTTTTTCCTTGACTGTTTACGTCCACATCACATCAACAACGTGTGCAGAAGCCATGGACTCGAGTGTCATCCACTTTTTGTTTTAAATTCATGCTCTTTTGTCCATTCTAAGTTAAATGAGGTATTGTGTGTTGACATGATGGTAACTTTCTGTCAATGTATAACCCAGCATCACCCTGATCCTTGTGTACTTTTTTTAACCAATGAGGAGCAGATATTTATCTGACACAGCACCAGTCTCATTCTATGATTGGTCTCATGATCTTATTCTTGGTGTGAGGGATTGCCTTTGAGTCAAAGAGTCAATGCAATCAACTGGTTTTCCTTAGATAGAAAACTTTGAATCAGTTTGACTGGTTGATCTGGTTGAATTGTCTTGAGATGACATGTGTTGTGAATTGGCGCTATTTTAATAAACCGAATTACGTGACACCATTGAACACAACACACGGATGTCAAAGCACCGTGCCAGTCACTTCTGATCTAACAAGCCAAAATAACTCTATTTTCATTCAATAAGCATGATGCAGCACTGGTAAGAAGGATAAGGACAGATAAAAGAGCGAAATAATAAAGAATACTGTCTACGCTCTGACTCCCGTCTATGTTGCTCTCCATTATTTACTTCCCTGATTTCCGTCACACTGTCGACATCATCAACGCTCACCCAGAGTGATTGCATCATAAGACAAGCAGTGGTGGGGGAAATGTAGCCACGCTGCTTTCCAGCAGGGGATCAGACTCTGCTTTTCTGTCTTCTCATTTGACAAAAAACAACAAAAACATATCATGTACAGGTCTACTTTTTGTTAATAGATTTTGCCCTTTTGAGGCTTTGTGAAGGCAAATCTCTGTTTTGCATGGTCCAATATGGTGTCACACACCTAAAAAAATAATTTAGTAGTTTAATAATAGAGAAGCTATCAGTCAGCTTTATATTTTTATATGTATATACGTATAAATATAACCTATTTTTTTGAAAATGTGTCTTTTTAAGAGAAACCAAATTAACCTCTCAAAACCCATGGGTCGCCGGTGTGACCGATTAACTGGTGGCGGAATTAACTGGTTAGAATCTATGCGGACTGCAGATGTTACTGAAGTGTAGGTGGCTGTGTCTATGCCTGACAAAAAAATATTCCTAACGTAACAAAGCTGTTCGTAAAAAAATCGACCAACTTATAAAATGAATAAATTAAAAAAAAAAAAATTTCAGATTAGAATGATGTGGCAAAGAACTTGTATCTACAGAAAAGCAGTTAGTGCAAAGAATTTCAAACAAAGAACAGCGTCGTTCACAAGTGTACAGAAAATATATAAATAAAAGTCTGTCTCACAATGGAGTGTCATTTCTCCTGCTCAACCATAAACTATAAATCAAAACTTGCAGCTTGGACGAGCAAGTCCACCAGATATGTAAATTCCTGAATGCAAATAAAAATCCATTAAAGTAGCTTGTCATTCAGAACGCACCTTTTCAAGAAAAACTGACAGCAAACAGAACAATTGAGCTTCTCATCCTTCCTTCCAACTATTCCCACTTTATTTTTTAAATTGTGACAAAAACGTATGTTCTTGTTATTAGAATCCATGCTCTTCACGTTTCCTTGATTTTCCTGTTTGGACACAAATACAAGTCTCTACGGTAATTTTTTATTTTTTTGTGGTTTTTCTCAGAGACCCCAAAACTCTGTCCTGTATGATGAACTGTATCAGGTCACATAAACAGTGGTATGAGGAAAGAAACAACTTTATTTCTATTGCTATTGTGTTCTGAAAATGTGTCTATTTAAGAGAAACTATGCAAATTATCCTCACAGGTGTGACAGATTAACTTGTGACAGGATTAACTGTTTAGAATCTCTGCGCACCGCAGATGTTACGATTTTTTCCTTGATTACTCTTAGAACAGAGTGGGGTCACTCATGGTTTCACTCTTCCCTGTAGCATTTTTTTCGTTGTTGTTTTGCTTTGTTCCTGCGACACACTTTCAACTTTAAAGACATTCCTAACTCCTCTGGAAACGAGTTGGACTGTAAAGAAATTTGTTGCTCTCAATATAAACAGTCAGTGCTTTTAAGAACAGAAAAAGGACATTAATTAGTTTTTATTTTAAAGACATACAGGATGACAGAGAAATTGAAAAAAATGCATTATTAGTTGTGCCAATTGACCCTTTGTTTTTATGTTCTTTTTTGTTTCTGCATTTTTTTATTTTATTTTATTTTTTTATTTTTTCCTACTTGCTTTGATTCTGTTTTATTTTCCTATATTTTAATCATGTAAAGCACTTTGCATTTCTTTTGTACTGTAATTGTGCTATACAAATAAATTTGCCTCGTCTTGCCTTGCCTTTAATGCACTGGCTGTTTTTACTTCTCATACAGCTTTTCCGTGATTTTGCTACTCGGTTCTTTGTCTCATCGCTGAGGTTCTGAAACAACAGATAAACAACAGCAGGACAAATTCTTCAAATCTCTGTGTGCGGGTTTTGAGAAATCCTTAAAACACGCTACATGCTTTCTTAATGCAATGGAGTACCTTTGTGATGGTGACTTCTTAAGATCATAGATCAGATTACACAATATTGTGTAATTCTTGGAGTCTACACGCAGTTTATTTCGTGTTTGGGGAGATGGGTTCTGAAAAGCCACGCCCACAGACACATCTGCAAAAATCTGCGGTTCTCCAGCTGCTTCCACCAGTAGATCTCATCAACACTTAATCTATGGGGCCAAAATGGTAGCTTTAATATTTGCAAATGTGTGTGGAGAGTTGTGTGTCTGTATCTCGATTTGTGTGTGTGAAGTGGGATTTGAAAATGTGTAAATAAATCTGTAAATGTGTGAGGAGATTTGTGTGTCTGTACAACAATCTGCAAATGTGTAAAACTACTTGTGTGTAATCCGTTTTGCAAATGTGTAAAAAATCCACAAATCTGTATTCAGATCTGCAAATGTGTACTGAGACTTGCAAATGTGTAAAAAGAGCCTGCGAGCCTGCGGTCAGGGCAGCATGTGAGCCTGCGCAAGGGGTTACAAATCGCGAAAATACACATACAAATCCTTCTACACATTTGTGCATCTCACGCGGCAGAAGAGTAGCAAAAATCACGTGTGTAAAGAGAGCCAACCGAAAAACCGCTTGACTTGTAACCAATGATTTGTCAGTATTTCTGGGTCTTGAAGCGAAAATACTTCAGACGCAAGTGTCTCTGTGTGTGCTTACAGATTGATCTACACATTTGCAAGTCTCAGTACACATTTGCAGATCTGAATACAGATTTGTGGATTTTTTACACATTTGCAAAATGGATTACACACAAGTAGTTTTACACATTTGCAGATTGTTGTACAGACACACAAATCTCCTCACACATTTACAGATTTATTTACACATTTTCAAATCCCACTGCACACACACAAATCGAGATACAGACACACAACTCTCCACACACATTTGCAAATACTAAAGCTACCATTTTGGCCCCATATTAATCTGTCACACCTATGCGACCAGGTGGATGTTAAGTGGGGGTAATAACTCAGAATGCATCAAATTCCACCCGTAAACTTTCTACCAATATAGACATGTTAAACATCATTGGAAAGCTTAGACTTTCTACAATTCAACCACCAATATCATTTTATGGACACCGCGAGAACCAAAGCACAATTAAAACAGATATAGCAGCATATCAAAATGTAAAGAAACAAAGCAGCCACACCTACTTTTGAAGGCATCCAGACAATGGCGTAACTTTCTGAAGGACTGGTGTGGGGTGTGGTCATGTCCCCACCAACTTTGGGTATTGAGGGGACAGTCTCCACCAATAATTTTAGCCCCCCCCCCTTTCTGCTGATTTACTTTGGTAACTGGGGTTACAGGTGCTGGTCATAAAATTAGAATATCATGAAAAAGTAGATTGATTTCAGTAATTCCATTTAAAAAGTGAAACTTGTATATTATATTCATACATTACATACAAACTCATATATTTCAGATGTTTATTTTGTTTAATTTTGATGATTACAAATGACAACAAATGAAAATCTCAAATTCATCATATCAGAAAATTAGAATATTACTGAAGACCAATAAAAACAAAGGATTTATAGAAATGTTGGCCAACTGAAAAGTATGAACATGAAAAGTATGAGCATGTACAGCACTCAGTATTTAGTTGGGCCTCCTTTGGCCTGTATTACTGCAGCAATGCGGCGTGGCATGGAGTCGATCAGTCTGTGGCACTGCTCAGGTGTTATGATAGCCCAGGTTGCTCTAATAGTGGCTTTTAGCTCTTCTGAATTGTTGGGTCTGGTGTATTGCATCTTCTTCTTCACAATACCCCATAGATTTTCTATGGGGTTAAGGTCAGGAGAGTTTGCTGGCCAATTAAGAACAGGGATACCATGGTCCTTCAACCAGGTACTGGTAGCTTTGGCACTGTGTGCAGGTGCCAAGTCCTGTTGGAAAATGAAATCTGCATCTCCAAAAAGTTGGTCAGCTGCAGGAAGCATGAAGTGCTCTAAAACTTCCTGGTATGTGGCTGCGTTGACCCTGGACCTCAGAAAACACAATGGACCAACACCAGCAGATGACATGGCACCCCAAACCATCACTGACTGTGGAAACTTTACACTGGACTTCAAGCAACGTGGATGAAGTGCCTCTCTTCTTTTCCTCCAGACTCTGGGACCTTGATTTCCAAAGGAAATGAAAAATTTACTTTCATCAGAGAACATGACTTTGGACCACTCACCAGCAGTCCAGTCCTGTTTCTCTTTAGCCCAGGCAAGACGCTTCTGACGCTGTCTGTGGTTCAAGAGTGGCTTGACACAAGGAATGCGACAGCAGAAACCCATGTCTTTCATACGTCTGTGTGTGGTGGTTCTTGAAGCACTCACTCCAGCTGCAGTCCACTCTTTGTGAATCTCCCCCACATTTTTGAAGGGGTTTTGTTTCACAATCCTCTCCAGGGTGCGGTTATCTCTCTTGCTTGTACACTTTTTTCGACCACATCTTTTCCTTCCCTTCGCCTCTCTATTAATGTGCTTGGACACTGAGCTCTGTGAACAGCCAGCCTCTTTAGCGATGACCTTTTGTGTCTTGCCCTCCTTGTGCAAGGTGTCGATGGTCGTCTTTTGGACAACTGTCAAGTCAGCAGTCTTCCCCATGATTGTGTAGCCTATAGAACTAGACTGAAAGACAATTTAAAGGCTTTTGCAGGTGGTTTGAGTTAATTAGCTGATTAGAGTGTGGCACCAGGGGCCATCAATTTTGAACCTTTTCACAATATTCTAATTTTCTGATATGATGAATTTGAGATTTTCATTTGTTGTCATTTGTAATCATCAAAATTAAACAAAATAAACATCTGAAATATATGAGTTTGTATGTAATGTATGAATATAATATACAAGTTTCACTTTTTAAATGGAATTACTGAAATCAATCTACTTTTTCATGATATTCTAATTTTATGACCAGCACCTGTAGGTGCAGCTGTCTGTGTTCAGAGCGTTATCAGTCCGTGTTTTTTCCCTCGCTCTCGCGCTGCTCTCGAATCCCACCTCTCGGTGAAATATCCGGATCTGTCTCTTTGGGATATAATATTATTAGTCGCATTTAACTGCTTACAGAGTCCCTACGTGGAGGAGGAGAGACATAGCTGCACTCAGTGAATTTTAACCGGCTGCTACTTCGATGTTTCAGTAAAAGTTTGGCTGGTTAAAAAAATTATGCCACCGAAAAATCCGCTCTTTGCACATGCAGAGCTTTTTCAGCTTAAAATGGCAATAAAGTTTACATTTATATAAGTTAAAAAAGCTGGGCTTCCCAGAGGAACATTACTCCGAGTTACAGATTAAAATAAACATATATGCTGTTTTCTTATTGAACAGAGAATCAGACTGCAGAGCTTCTAGATATCTTAAAAATTATTTTCTTTGGCATCATTATATTGGTAGACAGGTTCAAAAATCTGTTTTTAAGCAGAGCAGGGACACAATTAGGGACAGATGCTGATTTGAAGGTGAAACAGATTTACTGGGATATGCAATAAAATATATCCCCAAGTTTACAAAAAAAAAAAATGCAATGTTATAACTATATTTTGTAGTTCAACAAGCCACACAGGACACAGACTTAAAATAAAAAATTTATAAACCTGCTAGAATTAAAGGGCAAATAATATAATTCAGTATAAATTATTTTTGAAATATAAGGTTCAATATATAGACTTTGGCTGCCAATTACATATGGGACAAATTTCTAAATTTGATTTTGCTGCTTGTGAAGGAGGATAATCACTGATGCAGCTTAAAGGGAAGCCATGCATGGATGGATTGATGGAAGTGAAGTTGTGTCCATAGGGATGCATGATATATTTCTGTTGGCATTGGTGTCGGCTGTTATTCGTAATTTTTTATACATTAATATTTTTGAGCCCTTTATAAAATAATGCACTAAAGGAAGGCATCTGTCTATAACTATAAATACCACAAATGTATTGTGGTACTCTTGTCCTCTCAACAATAGTAAAGCATTTAATAAATAAATGTTTGAGCTCATTTTTGGAAAATATAAACCCTATTGAAATCGGGTTGAGTAGCTGTAGGTCCATCAGACACTATTTTTATAGCATCCCCACCAACTTTTATCACAAAGTTGCTCCCTCCAGAAGCTGTTTTATAAATCCAATCTTCAATTGTTTATACTCCATTCATCCATAGGGGTCCACAGATTAAGTGATCCAGCATATTAGTAATAAAAATATTCCATGATGAGAAAATCGCCCATAACATCCGGTTGTTGACATCAGAAAGGTTAGATGTTCAAAACTAATGCTTAGCATCTTGCTAATATTTACTTCTAATACCGTTGTTAGCCCATGATGTTTGGTATGATTCTTTACATCATCTTCTTATCTACAAGACACAAGTGTCTGCATATTTTTATGATGCAATTTGAGCGAGATAATGGCTCTGTTCGAAAACCTAGGACGCATCCTTAGAAGACCGGATTCGAAGGCCGATTACGTTATAGCGCGGCGCCGAGGTCTGGTCGGATTCCAAGAGTCCTCGTTATGAGGCCTTAAAATGCGTCCTTCTTTATGCCTGATTTGAAGGACGGGTCTGATGTATCCTCGGTATTCTTGGATATCCCAGGATTCATTGCGAGACGAGGCAAGCTGTGATCAGAGTAAAGGTTACTTGGCGCCGAACAGTGATGAAAATTGGAAGTTCAGTTTAATATAATACAAGTCATTTAATAGTTCCGTCTGAGATTAATGAAAAATTGTTGTTTTAATGGTTATTGAGTCAGATATGTGGCGGTAATGTTTGGTTTATCTAAAGGTTTTAATCTGTTACTGTGTAAATGGGTTTGGCTGTAATTAAAGGACAGATTCTAATATATCTGAAGGGTGGGGACTATAAATCTGATAGGATTTTTATCTTTTTATTGCTGTTTTGCACAATATGCTTAACTACATATTTTTTGTTGTTGAATATTAGAGATTTTGCAGATATATTTTTTATAAATACATTGTTTAGATTTACTTATATCTTTCTACCCCTTTTATAGAATAGAATAGAAAATCCCTTTATTGTCCCACAATGGGCAAATTTACAGCAGCAGAAAGATTATTGAAAACGGTCACACAAATGTGGACCTTAGAAAAATGTATGAGAATAACATAATAGGGAAGAGTTAAAATATAAACAATACAATACTGTAAAGTGTTTTAAGAATATAAAACTGGGGAATAAATAACCAATATGCAGCTATGGACATTTTTACAGTAATTGATATTTGAAAATAGCAACATCAGAGATGTGCAAAATGACAGCAGCATGTTATTTAACTGACTAAGGTTTCTATCATTACATTTGATTTTATTTGTTCCTGCTCCCGGCTGTTGGAACATTTATTCCATTCTGGATTCTTGTGAGTGTAGTCTTTGTTCACCTCACAATAAAAAAGAAATAAACAGTTTTGAAAACTTCAGTATTCATTCTTTTCCTGCTTTGTGCGTCAACGTTTACGGTTGCTAAGCAACAGAGCATACGGCTGTAAAACCCGCCGAAGGGTAGACCTGGTCGAATAGGGGGTTTTCAGTGATATCATTGGCCAGCTTCCGGTCCGCCATCTTGGGTGGCATATTATCGTATATCATATATATCATGTCGCGAATGGATAAGTACACCAGCACGCTAGAGCCACCAGATCATGGAACATATCTGAGGAAATGTTCCGTGATCAACCATATGGACCCCTATGCCCTCCACGGTGCCTTGTTTAGCACTAATCCAGATGATTGGCCAAATGTAGAGCATGGCGACATAGTTCATTACCTGGTGTTCAGTGAAAACCCTCTGCACACTCTTGAGGAAATGAGAGCGTACAAGGGTCTAGAAGCTCAAAACCAGTTCACATCTGGTTGGGTACGAGATGTCGAAGTGATGTACATGAAGGAAATCGCCATCATACGTGGAAGGGTGAGTTTTAATAAGATGGTAAAAATGTAAACAATCCGACGCAGGGCTCGCTATGCTAGGTGGCTAACGGCCGGCGATGCGCGAACAGTTCCAAAGTTACAAGTCCTTGGAGTCTCATGTGCAGTTTACGAATGGATGGGTTCAGGAGCTGCAGCTCATAAAGCCAGCAAACAGTACTAACCGTTAGTGCTAACAACCACTCAGGCATGTAATGTACTTTTAACTAGCTGCTATGTGTTTCAAAGGTTTGGTTAGTAACGTTAACTGCCAAACCTCCCTAAACCCTCCGAGTTTCTCACATATTTGAGCTTTTTCCCGCTGGTTGAAATCAAGTTAAGGTGAAATTAATCAAATTAAAACACGGCTGAGAGAGGGAGTCCAGTA